CCAAACAAAAATTGAAGCGATTTCATGATTGGGCAAAAGTAAAAAAAAAAAAAAAGTAAAAAAAAAGAAAAAAAAAAAAAAAAGGGACCCGCCTAGCGCCTAGGCCAATTTTTCCAACAGCCTAACTGAACAAAAGCACAGTTTATAGGTTTTGAGCTCTGATTATGAACATCATTACCGAATTTAACATTACAGAACAAAATCCACCACCTGTTCTAGATGTCTGTGCATCATAGATTTTCCAAAATAAACAAAATATAAAGAGAATTTGGTTAAAACTATAAGTAATCTGAATGTATTCCACTAAAAAGCAGGAAGCAGAGTAATTGGAGACTGAGCTTAGTGAAAAGAAAAACCTTGGGTTGAAGAAACTATCCCACCACCAGTCAGAGTTTGTGGCTTTAGGCTCGATTGGAACCAAGCTTAAATTTTTCTTCAATTTCCTATCTTTCTTGCTTTGCTTTGATTTCGTGGGAGACGCCATGAGAGCTCAAGTGAGGAATTGGCCACCTCTTTTTTGGCCTTGAACTTGAAGACTTTGATGGGAAGTGATTCAGTGAAGCGAGCCAGGTTATACTATTTAAATAGCCATTCGCATAGCCATTTTTTTTTTCCTAATAAATAGTATATTTGAATGGTATAGCCGCGCGGATGAACTCTTTACATATAATATATTTAAAAGGTATAGCCGCTCGGCCATACTGGTATCTTTTCCCCTTGATTTTCGTTTATCAGGGCTTCAAGATCAGTTGGATGCCTATATTCCATCGTGTGTAGTCTTCTAGCCAGAAAGTCTTCTGAAAGACTTGCTTTTTATATTAGATGAATGGTGGAGCCAGTATTTGAATATATGGTTTATCTTCAGAATTATGCAAGCTGTTTGTGGCTCCAGGATTCTCCTTTTATATATTTTAAAAGAAGTGGTACTTCAATTTTGGGAAATTTTATGGAAAGTAAGCTGGTTTCTATCTACATTGGGCTGAACATGAATTGTTCAGCTTATGGCATGTTGCATTTGATTTCAATGGTGCATGCGATTTTGGATATCATTTGAATTTGACACATCTATATTCCACTTGCATCTGTTGAGAATTAAGCTACTCACTGAGCTTAATAAGAAACTGTAGATGACAATCCTGCAGATTGTTCCTGAGAAGAATGAAGAATTGAAGAACTTCCTTTTGGGAAGTAGCCGTTAGCTACTCTAGCTATTTTGGGATAATTTCTACAGCTGGTTTTTTTTTGTCTGTTTCTTAGCTGTACTATGTTAACAGACTCTAGCCTAGGTGTAAGAATCGTAGCCTCCAATCATTATGAATGGTAGGAGATGGGTCCTTGTATCCTAAAATATAGGATCCTGATTTTGGCATCTTATGTCATGTATATGAGAGCAGGTTTTTGCTCAGACCTTGATATAGAAAAATACAGAACATTTTCTCATTCTCTCTGGTTTTTCTTCTCTCTTTTGCATAAACGTTTTTTAATATACCAAAAACCAACAGCATCCAGGATGACTTTCTGCATGCTGAAAGCTCTCATTCGGATGGAGATCAAGTGGCCACGGTATCAGATGGTGTTTCGGACCTGCAGGATTTACAAACAAGAATTAAAGCTATTGAAAAGGCAATGGTGGAAAAGGAAAGGCATTTTTCCACAAATCAGGTAGAAAAGAAACACGGGGATGGGGTTGGTAACACTATGAAGAAGCGTGAAATATCTGGCTCAGTAAAGACATCATTCTTGATCAGATATCAGAGTGTATATCTTATGGGATAATCAGAAGAGACACCATAGAGGCTGATGGTCAGATGCTTGAGTTGTGGGTAACCACTGACCAGGATGCCAGCATTGATTTGATGGCTGGCAAGGGCCAGAAGGTGGCCGCTGTACCAACTGACCACAGTCAGACTGAAGCAGTAAAGGAACACGACAATAAATATTCCTCTTCAGAATCATTGGTTGAGAAGGAATCGGGCGTGGACAAATTAGAGATCTCTAAGAGATTTACAGAGCCCCATCAAGATGGCAACAAGAAAAGGATTCTAGAAAGACTTGATTCTGATGTACAAAAGTTGACAAACCTTCAAATAACTCCTGAAGAGGAAGATGGAGATTACTGAAATGAGCAAAAAAGGGTAAAGGTATTGAATTTGAAAACGTGAAGGGGCAGCTGGAAGAAGCTGACGAGGCCATCACTAAGTTGTTTGACGTCAATCAAAAATTGATGAAGAACGTTGAAGATAGTCCTCTGTTCTCTAATGGAGTTTCTGGGGTAGTGTCTTATGAAAGTGGGAGTGTGAAAGTGGGACTATATCTATGGTGGCAATAGAACCAACCAGAAACACAAGAAAGCGCCCTTCTGTGCATGCATACAGCCCCCAACCAAGGGAGATTGAAGCAATGGAATTTCATGGTCCCATGGTATAGTTTTAAAGTAATGATCAGGCATTAGTTTTGTCTCATTGTCCATAAGTTTTTTCTTTTTAGAGAGCTGTACTTGTTTTGCCATATTTTATAGAGAGGAGTATTGGGTCTTGCTTAGTTTTGAGATCCTGCTGTAATCAAAGGAAACTCACTCTGATGGTGTTTGCTTTTTTTATCATATTATTTTTCTTTTACATATATATTGCTGCTTGTCTTTCTTATGCCGCAGATTAAAATAAAAATGCTTTATTTTTGTGGGATATCTTTGGCTTTAAACTTCTTTGGTGTTACAAGTTCTCGTAGACTCTGACAAAATGAGCTTCCATTCTACTTTCTAAGCTGCCATACGAAGATATGGCTGATTCACATAGTCTGTTAAAAACATACATACATTTCTTTTATGCAAGTCAATGAGAATAAGAGAAGCAATTCAGCATTTCATGTCATATATGGCTGGTGCCGGTGAAATTGCCGAAGCAAATAATTTTACAGATTGAAACCGTTCCAAACTTCCAACTCATTTAAACCAGACTGGCAGAACAAGAATCACTTTGGTGCAGCGGTCTGCTTGCTGTGCAACAAGTGTTTCACTAGGATATCCCTCATAGTCCTCCCCAACGGATCAACTTTCCTACAGCATTGTTCCCCATATCCCGAGTCATGATGACCAGAAAAAGCAACATCTGGTTGTAATATATCTCTACTGTCAATTTTATTGTGAAGTAAACAACATACCAAGATGATGCTCGGAAGTTTCCGCTTATCGGGTCTCCACATAACCTTGTTAAGGATTCTCCAAGTGCCCTTTAACTGCGTGAATGCCTTTACTGCAAGTGACCTTGCAGCCCCATGCACGGCATTGAAAGCGGAAATGTAAGCGGGGAGGCCATTGCTTTCATAAGGAGTTATGAGCCAGGGAAGCAGAGGATAGCCAACCCCGCCAACTAAGTATTCTCTAATCTCTACTCCTCCAGATAAAGTTCTAACATTTTCATTCAAACGCTGTCCACCTTCACAGAGCTTGAAAAATCCTGAACACTTTAAAAGTCTAGACACCGTCATGCCCCCAGGCCAACCAGTTACAATGTCAAGAAACCTCATCTCATGGTCAACAATTCCCTGCAAGAGCATGCTGTAGTTGTCCTCCAGGTCACACCAATCGTCTGATGTTTGAACGGTAGGAAGACTCAGAATGATGTGTGTACCATCTATGGCTCCACAACAATTGGGCAATCCAAAGGCTTCTTCAGGTTTGGACTTTATTTCTTCCACACTCTGTTGGAATCAACTAGGAGGCCCTTTTTTCTTATTTTGGTTTCTTAAATCGTATAGTTATCCTACGATTTATTTTTATACAAATTTATAAATAAATCCAATTCTAGACATGTATTTATAAAAAAACCTAAACACTATTGAAACATAGAAACACACCCAAAATCAACCCCAAAGTCAACAATTGTATATTTTTTGGGTGTGTTTATAAATGGGTTTTGAGTGTGTGTAATGACGGGTTTTGGGTGTGTTTATAAAGTGTTTTAGGTGTTGGGTTTTTTTATAATTTTAGCTCCCATTTTGGGTGTTTTAATGAAACTCCCTTATTTTTATTAGCATAGCAGGGCGGCTATACTTATTTTTACACGTGATGTTTAATTGCCAGTGGGTAAAAAATAGTACAGCCGAACAGCTATAATCCGTGTTTTTACTTTTTTTTAAAAATAGACTTGGTTTGACACGTGGCGCCTAATCGATGGGGGTCCCTTTTTTTATATTTAAAAATAGTATAGCCGGCTGGCTATACTCAGTTTCTTAAAAACAATTAAAACCGTATAGCCGTGCGGCTATACTGGTTCACACGTGGACGCCTAGTAGGCCATGGCTAGTGAATAGTATAGCCGAATGGCTATACCCGATTATTTTCTCATTTTAATAGCCGGGCGGCTTTACTTATTAAATTTTTTTTTTTTAAATAATTCTCTTTAACAAATAGTATAGACGAGTGACTATAGCCTTATATATATATATATATTGTGTATTTTTCAATAATACATTTTTGTCCTATATACATCTCAAGTTTTTTAAAAAGTAAACATATAATAGTCGTATTGTACATGTATGTACGTATTTTCTAATGTTTTATACACATTTTTTGCAAAATTTTCAGTAAGACACACAAAATTCACGTATTATACAAATAATTCTCACATATTATTGAATAAAATAATATGTCATGAAAATTAAATTAAAATATTATACAATGGGCGATTAATATTTACTTGGGATATGTTGAAACTGGCAAAAAAAAACAATACGTCAATCACTTCACTCAGGTCAACAACAAAAATTATGCAGTGCAGTCTTTCTATGCCAAACTATCACCCTCGGCTTTGCAGTTCTGATGTCTGCAATGCCTTGAGAGACAATGCATATCTTACTAGTTAAAGCAAAAGGGACGGATAAGTGCCGAAACCAGTAAAATGATTACAAAATTCATGGATGCTATGTTATTTTGAATTATCAAGCTCAACTTCAATAATCTGCTAGCAAAAAAAACAACCTTGAATGAGCAATCTTTCCAATATCAAAGGTTAAAAAGCTGGCAGGAGTGCAAGAGATCGTAGTTCAAATTATTTTTGACCTTATTTTTCTCCTAGGAGAATGAACTCTAATCATTTAAGAAGTAAGAAATATATATCCACTCAAATAAATAAGAGAACAATAAACACAAAAGATATTAAGCCAATCGAACCAACTATAGATACCATAAGTATCAAGCAGCAAAAAAGCTTAAAAGCAATGGAGCAGCAGCAGCTTCCATACCTTCAACAATTATTCCCAGAAATTGCTGAGCCAGAGCAAACAGTTCTTAGCAATCATATCAGCCCACAAATTCCTTGTGTTAATAGAAAATAAAAACATAAAAGGAAAGATCTTACTAACCAAGCCACCACCTTCATCGTCATCAAAATCACCACCATTTGCTCCAAGATCTTGCATTCCAGCTTGGTCTGTAACAGCTGACACCTAAATAGAAAAATGAGGACTCAGGTAGATGAACTCCCAAATTACTTAATATATGTTTTTAAGCAAAACCATCCGTTTGGGAAACCATAAGGATGCACAATTATGTAACAACGCAACGACTTCTGAAAACCCGAATCTAAAGCATCATTCTAAGTGGCAACTCTGATCCACCCTATAAATCTCAGAATGATAGCAGTCGGTGACACATCACCACAACACATTCAAATATTTCAAAACACAAAAGCAAAAGAGGCTTCTATTCAGGAAATACCACAATAACTATTTAAGACCATGATACTAATAGTATTATCAACTAGTGCTTGTAGTTATCGGTAAAATTACGTGCTACAACAATCTGCACATTATGAGAAGTTCACCACATCAACTACGTGCTACTCAATGTGCGCATTAACAAAAACCCCAGCTCATGCACTATTGCACAGTAGGCCTGCTGGGTTTCGCTACCTTACAGTGATCACACTGTATAATCCATTTGGACAGTGAAAGGCTGAACAGAGTCACCAACAAAAAATTCCAACAATCAAATAAATACATGCCATGTCAAAAAAGCATCGCCAAATTAACCAGAGGAACTAACATACCAGTAACACACACAACCTAATTGATGAGCTTGGAAAGAGTACACAATGCAAGCATATTTCTGGAGGAAGAAGTATAATAACAATATAGTAAAGTGCCATTACCTTAATTAGTCGACCTGCAATCTCCAATTTTCCATTCAAACTCAGTGCATTTCTAGAATCTTCAAGACGTGAGAACTGCAAGCAACTGATTCAATGAGTTTGATTTATTCAATACAATTACAAGGAAATCATATCCAGCATCTGATAAGAACAACTGGAATGGAATTGAACTAAAAGGAAGGGGGAAAAAACATTGCCAACCCAACTTCATTTCATTGGCCTTTCAGGTTTTAAAATATTGTAAACTGAAATTGTATGATGGGTTGACCCTTAACCCAACCCATGCCCGCACCTAGCTAAGGATTTGGCAGTTGGAAGTTTTTGGTGCCCACTCTTCTCAGTTTGAGTTGGGAAGAAACTTGAAAGACAATACACTATATTCTTATTAAATTCTGGTGCAGTAGAAGACCCAATCAAGAAAAGGTGTGCATTTGTTTAGAGTCGATTTCAAATTCCATCTCCAGCTACAACGAACTGGTAGTTGACAGTTTTCTTTTTCTTTCCTTTAATAAATTTCCCCTCCATGGATTTGGACTTGAAAATAAATATAAATAAATAACAGAACTGAAGGATGCCAACAGTCTTTGAAGTTTTAATTAAACCATGTTATGGATTGCTTGTTGGTTGTCCTTTGGCTTAATATAACTAGCTGCATGCAACCATTTATATATTTATTCTATATCCAGGCTGCTTAAGTTGAAAGTTGTAGTCAAACAGACCTGCACAACTCCAAAACCTTTGCAGTTAGTTTCTTCAACAGGTAACTGAACCAGTTCTACAGGACCAAATGCTCCAAAAACCTGCATATATATCACATATTAAAGGGTGAAAGTCAAAATGCAAAAAATATTCACAATTACAAAGACGAAATTAGGAAACTGTGAACAGAAGTGCTCAAAAGCAACAAAAAAAAATTACATAACCAACAGCAAGCTTGATTATGTACATTATCTGATGCCAACATTAGAACTGTGCCAGAAAAGTAATCACCTGGCGGAGATCATCTTCTTTTATATTGGTATGGAGATTTCCAACATACAGCCTTCTAGCTCCGCCAGAATATGGGCCTATCATCACACCTGGTCCGCTAACCACAGATGTTGATTGAACCAGATTCTTCTCAGCCTCTGATGGCTTCACCATCAGTGGTTGACCAAGAAGAGGCTGACCAGAAAGTGCAATCGCCATAGGTACCGACATTGCATCATAAAACTCAATATACCTACAAACTAGAGAACATTAGACTCTTGGATAATCAAAAACCAATTGCCACATATAGATGCATATAATAGCAAAGTTTACTGGAGTCTCCACTCATAGTTCAAAAAGGGGAAAGAAAAATGTCCTATATGATATATCTGATCATCTTGACCACCTAGAATAACCTATAGTATATACTATATGTACTGCTTTTAGTACAAAGGCGATCAATATCATCAAAAACTTTCTAAGATGATGGTGCAAATTTTGAACATTGTAAATGATGTGATGATTCTTCGTACTGCACAAGAAAACGTTGGAAAAAGGAAGATGCAGCCATCAAGAAGGAAGCAGGAACTGCCAACCATTCCAAAAATGACCAAGCGACATTAAAAGGATAGTCTTATTTGAACCTTAGAATGAAATCTTTGGCTTCTTGTCAACACAACCATACAAATTTTTTTCATTAACAACCGGATAATTTAAGACTCTCACATCATCTTAAACGCTACCATTGCATAATGGGTAATTGTTAAAGTGAACCTTCTGTTAATAACCATCCAAAGCTTTTGTCACCAAGACATAAGAAAAACTTTCCCAACTCCCTTAGAACGTCTTGAATTGCGATCCATAATGAGGCGTACATCGCGGACCTAAAAATACACAATTCAGAGCTATTAGATAGACAATCATAGAAATATACTAACAATTACATCCACAGAAGCACTTAATGGAAAACGTTATGGGTTTCCAGTATTTGGTTTAGTTGAAGCACTGCATCAGATAGTGTTAGGGTGCCCTTGAGAGCAGAAGGTGAAAATATAATGCATTTACATCAAGAAGTCCCTTTTAGCTAAATAGTTTAAGATCTTTATCTACCATCCTCTATGATTTGTTAAATGAACATGAGATAAATAAACGAGAAATGTACAAACCTTGCCAGCCCTTGAGAATAACTCGTATACATCTCTTTCATCTGCCTTCAGACAAATCTGTCAAAGTTGTTCACCAAATCATAATAGTTAAGATATGAGAATGTGAAAGATAGAAAGTTCAAGATAACACCATAGAATGCATGCACCAACATATTTGCTCTTCTATGGACCTGACTTGTGCTTCACTGCTTCAGCTTCCCAATCTCAAGCTCAAATTTGCAGCTAAATTTTTTCAATTTCTGGTTTCAGGCTTTCAGTCAATCGCAGTGTTTGAAAATTGGCCTAGGCGGTCGCTATGCGGGCGCTAGGCGGCTAGGATGTCGCTAGGCGGCTAGGAGGTCGCTAGGCGGGTGCTAGGCGGCTAGGCGGTCGCTAGGTGGCTAGGCGGTTGCTAGGCGGGCGCTAGGCGGCTAGGCGGCTAGGCGGTCGATAGGCAGCAAGGCGGGCGACTAGGCGGGTTGGGTCTTCTTTCGCTGGGACGAAGCAGTGACTGCGAGTGCAAGTTCCGTCCTCTGCGAGTGCAAGCTTCGTGTTCTTAAAGAATATATTTAAAGTGTCTAGCCGCTCGGCTATACTGTTAAAATATTCGAATGTATTTAGAAAGTATAGCCGAACGGCTAAACGTTTAAAATATTCGGAAGAGTATAGCCTCAAGAAAGCGCCCTTCTGTGCATAAGTTTTTTCTCATTGTCATGAGTTTTTTCTTTCTGTACATGCCAGGCCCCATCTTCTAATCAAAGGAAAGTCACTCTGATGGTGTTTGCTTTTTTTATCATATTATTTTTCTTTTACATGTATATTGCTGCTTGTCTTACTTATGCCGCAGATTAAAAAAGCTACATCTGGTTGTAAATCTCTACTGTCAATTATATTGTGAAGTAAACAACATACCAAGATGATGCTCGGAAGTTTCCGCTTATCGGATCTCCACATAACCTTGTTAAGGATTCTCCAACATACCAAGATGATGCCCTTTAACTGCACGGCATTGAAAGCGGAAATGGAAGCTGGGAGGCCATTGCTTTCATAAGGAGTTATGAGCCAGGGAAGTAGAGGATAGCCAACCCCTCCAACTAAGTATTATTCTCTAATCTCTATTCCTCCAGATAAAGTTCTAACATTTTCATTCAAACGCTGTCCACCTTCACAGAGCTTGAAAAATCCTGAACACTTTAAAAGTCTAGACACCGTCATGCCCCCAGGCCAACCAGTTACAATGTCAAGAAACCTCATCTCATGGTCAACAATTCCCTGCAAGAGCATGCTGTAGTTGTCCTTCAGGTCACACCAATCGTCTGATGTTTGAGTGGTAGGAAGGGTCATAATGATGTGTGTACCATCTGTTGGAATCAACTAGAAGGTCCTTTTTGTTAAAATATGAATATGGTTTGAATGTATTAGGTTTTGTTTTATTCTTCTCCATAAGGAGATATATATATATATATATATATATATATAGGAGTTTACATTAGGGTCTTATAAGGAATTAGATATAGTAAAGAATTAGGAAAGTATCTCCTAATTGTACAATGATTTATCACTTATATAAAAATAGGAAAGTAAATCCCTTAATTAATTAAGGAAGTAAATCTCCTTGATGCTTCCTTAATTAATTAGGAGACTCACGTCAATACTCCTCCTCAAGTTGATGCATATATGTCACCAATGCCTAACTTGGTAAGTGAGTCATGAAATACTTTTCCACAAACAGCTTTGGTTAAGATATCTGCTAGTTGATCTTTTGATTCACAATAATTCACAAACTCCGTGAGCCATTCCTCGATACTCTGCACTAGACCGAGAAATTGCATTTTGCTTTTTACTCCGCTAAGTGACTAGGTTACCTCCCACAAATGTAAAGTAACATGAAGTAGAGCGTCTATCTGTAATAAAACCAGCCCAATCAGCATATGTGTATCCAACAACTTCAAGATCTCCATTTTTTGAGAACATTAATCCTTTCACAAGGGCTGACTTTAAGTATTTTAAGATCCGATTAATTGCATTCCTTTGGTGGTGGTGATAGAAGCAAGAGTCTGGGTAACCAGGTCAGTAGGATTGACCGCATGCTTCTGTGAGTCTGCAATAAGATAGAGAATCGTATGGGTTCCTGACATCGCAGCAGAAGTAAGATGTGATATGAGAAGGTGAGGAAAGTGATGTGAGAAATTTGATGTATAAATTTGATGTATGAATTGAATTTAAGAGGTATGTGTATAAGATTTGAGGGTATGTATTTATGACTTTGGATAAGCGAGAATTTGAGGACTTTAGATTTGAGGGATTTGGATTTGGGGAAAAATATGAGGAATTTGATGTAGGAATTGGATTTAAGAGGTATGTGTATAAGATTTGTGGGTATGTACTTAGGGATTTGGATAAGAGGAGTTGAAGACTTTAGATTTGAGGGATTTGGATTTGGGGAAAAATATGAGGAATTTGTTTTAGGGTTTGGATTTGAATATGAGAAATTTGAAATAAGGGTTTAGAGACAAAACAATTTCTCTTCACTCCCCCTATCTTCCTGGGAATACATCAAGGTAATGGGGATACGTCAATAAACATATCATTTTCACTCCCTCTCCCCCCCTTGAAGAGGAGGGGAGGAAAGCACTTAAATTTCAAGAAGAACGCAAGCACGGTCAAAAGAGAACTAGGCTCTGATAACATGCTAAAATATGAATATGGTTTGAATGTATTAAGTTTTGTTTTATTCTTCTCCATAAGGAGATATATATATATATATATACACAGTCCCCTTCTATTGAGGGATCCCTCAAATAATTTTATTTGAGAGACGCCCTTTAGGGTACCCTACAATTTTTTTTCCAATGATCCAAACCATCTATTTTTTAGGTCTTCATTCATAGATCATCCTTATAAAAAATTAGACAAATCAGAAACCGTTTCGACATCCAATTGTGTCCTACAAAATCAATGAACACGATACTTCAAGAAAATACTAAAATTTCAATAACTCAATTGAATGGTCAAATCATATCGGATTCAAGTGATTTTTTGTAGAGATGATCTTTGAATGTGTATCGATAAAATAGACGGTTTGGATTAGTGAAATACAATCCGGAGTGGGCCTTACAAGGGGTGTCCTTTAAATAAGCTTATTTGAGGGATTCCTCAATGGAAGCTCTTTGTATAAATATATATATTTATATTTATATTTATGTTTATAGGAGTTTATATGAGGGTCTTACAAGGAATTAGATATAGTAAAGAATTAGGAAAGTATCTTCTAATTGTACAATGATTTATCACTTATATAAATAATAGGAAAGTAAATCCTTTAATTAATCAAGGAAGTAAATCTCCTTAATTAATTAGGAGAAGCACGTCAACACTTTTTTATTATTTTGGTTTCTTAAATCGTATAGCCGTGCGGCTATCTTACGATTTTTTATAAATAGTATAGCCAGCCGGCTATAGTTAGTGGCATATGGGTTAAAAATAGTACCGCTGTTTTTACTTTTTTTTTAAAATAGACTTGGTTTGACACTTGGAGCCTAATCGATTAGGGCCCTTTTTTTTATATTTCAAAATGGTATAGCCGACCGGCTATACTCAGTTTTTAAAAGAAATTCAACAACTGTATAGCCGCACGGCTATACAATTATACACGTGGGCGCCCAGCAGGTATGCGGCTGTTCTGTTTTTAAGTGAATAGTAGAGCCGCGCGGCTATACTTTAAGCCGTTCGGCTTTACTCGGTTTCTATTTTTTTCAAAAATAGTACGGCCGTTCGGCTATACTATGCTTGGATTTTTCTATTTTTTTAATAAATAGTATAGCCTTCCAGCTATACTGGTCATTTTTTTTGTTTTATTTATTTTTAATAAATAGTTTAGCCAATCGGCTATACCCCCATTATATATATATATATGCACTTATTTTTGTTTATCAATAAAAGTAGTTTTATAGCATTACCAATTATTATTATTATTAAGTCATTACCTATGTCTCTATTGTCCCAATTTGATTTTTTATTTTTCTAGAGTTACTAGTATAATGAATTTAGCACTTTCAAGTTTAATGTTGTATTATACACATATATATGTATTTTTTAATAATACATCCATGTTTTGTACATGTCTTACTCAGTAAAATTTACATTTTTAAAAAAGCAAACATACCATACTAATATTGTACATGTACATATATATTTTTCATATTTAATACATATATTTTTTACAAAATTTTCATTAAGATATACAAAATTTACGTATTATATATATAATTCTCACATATTATTAAATAAAAATAATATATATTTAAAAATGTAAATGGGCTAAGCCGAATCACAGCCATAAAATCCCAATTTGACCATTTTGGGCCAAAACCAGCCATGGCCTGGCCGAAAGTGCCAGGCTAGACATCTCTTAGGCTTTAGCCATTAGAGGTAAATTGAACAGAGCTTTACCATTGATGTGAATGAAGAACAGAAAATTTATTTGAGAGGAGAAAGAGTGACTGAGAATGATCAGATAGAGCTAATACATAGATGCCATCATGACGGCAATCAAACCAATAGGGAAACAAAGTTCAATCATCATCTCATTGTCAATCCTCAAAATTCTCAAGTCCCAAAGTCTCAAACAGATTGAAGAAATTAAAAGATCTAAGCCATGTTCAATTTCAAAACGAAAAAAATCCAAAACAAACGAAAAAAACCAATTTGATGTAGCAAATAGCACAATTTTCTGGTGTGGGAAGAAGGATCAGATAGAGCTAATACATAGTTTCGCCATCATCACGGCGTTCAAACCAATAGGGATACGAAATCTAATCCTCATCTCAATCTCCCACTTTCACTTCAAAAATCACACACTAAAAAAGCTTTTTAGGGTTTAAGCAGAGAAAAAGAAAAGGGCTTTAAAGAGCCAGAGCGGCTACTTGTTTCAACCTTCATATTTTGAAATCGTAATGACACAGGAACCCTAAAGATTGGATATTTATAGTGAAAGCTCAGGCCTTTAGGGCAACATTTGCAGAAGAGCCTCTGATCTCTATATGGGCTGACCCAATTTTCTTGAACCGGCCCAACCCACATTTGTTTTAACCGGAAAAGACCAGAACCAACTGACTCAACCACTTTCGTCTTGTGTTTCCGTACAATGCGCCTCCACGGCCACCGCCTACGTCAACCGCCTTAAAATCTCATAGCCTCCTCCTCTCCATCTCTTTCTCTCTGTTATGGAAATGGCTAAGAATTACTCGAAGAATCTGTTCAACCGTTTGTGTAAGCACCAGGCACTAAAGCACTTTGCTTTGTTAATTTACTCTTCTCGAAATGCAGAGATTGAATTTTTGTTTTTCTGTTTTTGGTTAATTTATGTGTAGATTTTATGCAAAGATTTCTGAAGAAAGAGCAATTGTATCAGAGCTTTATATATAGCTATGTGAATCGGTTTCAATCGCTACGCTCGAAAGTAGGCAAGGTAGAGCCAGAGGCACTCAAAGAAACGAAAACTGCTGCTCCTCCTCACGCTCTTCTGAGGCCCAAACATGATGTCATTAGCAACTACTCTAGTGACGACGATGATTTAATCGATAGTAAGTGGAAAGGGTTGGAGCTTGCTTGGCTCCCCAGAGCTCTTGAACCAGCTTTTCAACTGTGCAGGTGGGCTCTGCCAAGCTCAACAGGTATGTTTTCTGTTTTGATTATCTTGTTTGGGCACTTGGGTGGTCATGGGTTTTGAATGAATTTGTGTAATTTGGAAATTGTAGTTTCAGTTGTGCATGAAGATTATTCAGTTCTGAAAATTGCAGGAAATGGAGTGGGAGAGAAACCCCCACCCAGCACTCGATCAGTCTCGGAGATCATTGCAAGCATCCAACGCAGTAAGACAGGAATTCAGGATTGGAGTTTGAGTGATCTCACCATTGGTTTGTTTCTTATTTATCTTCGACAAGCGTCTGTAAATCCGTTTGAGGATGTTAATGGTGTTCAGGTCTCCTCAGATTCAATTGTAATGCCAATACCAAACCCTTTTTTAATTATGATAATGTTCTCATACTTCTACTGTTACTCTGTATAAACACATTATGTTGTGTGTCAAGTTTTAGTCTGCTAAACCGGCGGGTCTTATTAGGTATTATTTGGCATTGGTTTTGTGTTTTAGGTACAAGATCTCATCTACCACTCTGAGTTAGCAAGGGGTTCTTATAAGGATACTACTGCAGCTCTTGCAAGGAACACCATGCTTCGAGAAAGCAATGTCTTGAAATTTGTCAAAAATTCCAGTGTGATGAGGCCTGGATATTATATAGGGATTGACCCTCGTAAAAAACTTGTAATTCTAGGAATCCGTG